AGAAGTGCAGCATCTTTGCGGCGCTTCCAGATTTCCAGCTTTCGTTGCTACTTGGGAAAGCTGCAAAGATCATCTTTGCCATACTTCCAAGGAGGTGGTGGTGGTGGTGGTGGTGGAGCTCCTGATATTTCACCAATTTTTCAGGTCCCATAGCTGCTCCATCAGAACTCCGGGATGCTTTGCCGCTGTCTCGACCAGTTGTGCCAACTGATTTGTCAACTCTGCGTTGCTCTGTTGATGCGACTGACCGCCATTCAATGCACCATGCAACGCGCTGCTCATTGGATCAACACTGTCAACTCCAACATTGTCAACACGCTCTGCTGCTGCAATGTTCTGTGCTCTGTTTGGGGCTCTTTCCTGCATGTGCGGCTACTCCTCGACACGGTGCTGCCGGCTCGAACTGGATCGACAACAAGATCATCTGTTGGAGCCTCTGACTCCGCCAACTCTCTACCCTCATGGCATGGTCCTTCGTGGGTGGAGCACAACGCAAACGTGTCCGGTTGTGATCAAACGCCTGCGACGTCGTGTTCGGTGCTGGCTCCAACGGAGGCGAGTCTGAGCCTGAACTAAACTATGTGCCTGTCGGGGGACGTGCATCCAAATGCCCTCATCATTTTTTCTTCGTTGGGACAGACCGGCGTTGTAGTGATCACTACTCCCATCAGCGCACTTCCAGCCCTTGCCGGTCCAAACGAAGGTCTCGTTTCCGCAGTTCCAACATCTCCAAGCCGGTTCTGAAGCCTCGGAGGCAGGTGGAGGAACCTCAGTGGAAAGTCCAACGCCCGAAGAAGCCGACAGCGCCTCAAAGTCAAACATCGAGGGGTCAGGCTCCGGTGCCAACTAATGCACCCTCTTGGGACAGAACGAGGGGCGCTATGAAACGACGGTGCGGCCAAGTGCAAACACGGCAGACCTTCTACTGCAAAAAGCTGAGATCTGGCTCGGGCCCTTTGGCGACGGTGTGCGAACATGATGGGTCAATGGCTGTGATGATCATGCCGTTCAATTTTCACAGAATGAAAGGTAAAAATCACTGCAGTACCTGTTCTGCTTGTAATTGTTGTTTGATGCGAGGGCACTATCAAGTGCATCTCAAATCAAAGAAACATAACAGAAATCTGAGGGCAATTAATGTTTCATGATACATATATAGTTCTTGTGAAAACACTGTCTGTCATAAGTCTTTCAAAAACGATTTGTTTGGTGATGAGTTGTGAGACTGCTATACTTTATTTGGTGAAAACTTTCGAACTGCTTGACTGCGATAAAGTGATATGAAGAAACATCCCAGAGATTCTGTTACATATTTGTTCACCCCTTCAAGGTCAACAAGGTCTGAGATTGGAGGCATTGAAGACCACATCCCCCTAATAGAGGTGATGACCTGATGATGGATGATGGTTGACGGGATTCTGTGTGAACCACGAGAGTTTGAACCATGAGAACAAAGAGAGCTTAGCATATTGGCGAACGTTTGATGAGAGATCAAAGCCATGCCAACTGGGAGCCTGCACTTGAGAGCATGGAGGAGGAATGGGCAATGGATGCTCTATGTGGCGCGGGTGGATGCCTATACTGGATGGTCTAAATGGATCTAATTGGGATGATGGTTTGGAAAAGGACAAGGATTGACGGATGAAAGAGGTGGAAGGCACGATGGAGGCCAAAGGGCGGGCTTGATAACTAGAGGGGGGTGCCCCCCACTATCAGAGGGGGGGCAGGGCCTGTGTAAGGGGCACCCTTTGTGAGCTTGAAAACAATGTTACAAACAAAAATGAAAGATATTCGCTAGAAAGCTTTTAGTGGTTGTGGAAACATGTTGCTTGGGAGGACATTGGTCATTAGAATGGTTGGTAGCATGAGCCTTCAAGAGAAGCCATCAGAACGTTGGGTGAGCAGATTGAGGCAGCCGAGGAGTGGTGGTGAGAATGATCAAGACGAGATCATGAAGACACCAACATCCAAAAAATGAAAGCACCAGCACCAGCTAGAATGATTTCATGCAAATGGCATGTGAAAAGGGTGGGTCAGAGGATCAGTTTCACTATAGTGGGAAGATATTGGGTATTAATTGAAACGACAGTAACTAGACAACATAATATATTAGAAGTTAGTTTAGTGTTGGGGGCTCGAGATGGGCTTGATTAATTGCGGGAGGTTACTTAATCCAAGTAGTTCCCGGGCAAGCCGGCGGCGGAAGTTTCCTATAAGAACAAATTGACCTATAAAGGTGTCCACATTCTCTCCAACATGCGCGTCCTCCAGTCAAACGCACGCGCTCCGGACTTTTGACCCACGGGATTCCACGTGTGTAAGGTGTGTGCCCCCTGCAGGATCAGCAGCTCACAACAGCGTACTGGGTTGTATCTTTGCCACGACAAGAGGGGTGTATGACGAGTGGATACGAGTGGTGTATGATGAGTGGTGTATGACGAGTGGTGTATGATGAGTGGTGTATGCTGAGTGGTGTATGATGAGTGGTGTATTGACCAGCAGTTGAATGTCCTGTCCTGCATAAATGCAAACAAATACTATCAGTATGAACTGTGCCAAACCTGCACGCCGCGAGAGATGACTCAGCAGCGAGAGATAGCTATAGCGAGAGCTGACTCAGCAGCGAGAGATAATTGAGCAGCGAGAGATGACTCAGTCGCGAGAGATGACTCACAGCAGCGAGAGCTGACTCAGCAGCGAGAGATGACTCCTCCGCGTACTACACTTGTACTACAAAGTGGCCAGTTCTCAGCTTCCAGCTCCACAGGTTGTTCCGCGTACTAAAGTTGTACTAGAAAGTCGCCAGTTCTCAGCTTCCAGCTC